ATTTGTGTATAAACATCAGTTCAGTTATGGACGCTACAAACCTCTCTACAAGAGTATGTGGGGTGGTGTTTATAAATCAGTGGCTGCTGGTCTCTGATGCTGCTGGGAATCCGAATTAGTCTGCACAACATCTTAGTCTTCATCTTGTAGCATATCAGTGAGATCATTCATTCCTGCCTAAATGTGGACTGGGAAAAGAGGTATATTTAGATAGGTCAACACACCCAACACAACTTTAAAAATTATATTCCTGTGCCTCTTGTTACAACAGGGGGTGAGGGGGCCTGTTCATCATCTGTGGCAAACGTATCTTGCTCTTGCTCCATAAACCTATCTTTCTCTTCTTCAGTGAACTTTGTTTTTGTGCTTAAAAAAATAAATTAATTAAAAAAATAAAAATTCTATTCTTAAGCCTCTTCCATTCCAACAAGACTTTTTGGTCTGGATTCAACTAATTCATTCAACCTCCTTAATCTAAGCAAAGGTTAGGGCAGTATCTTGGTCCATTCAGGCTGCTATACCAAAAATAACATAAACTGGGTAGCTTATAAACGACAGAAATGTCTTTCTCAGGGTTCTGAAGGTTATAAGTCAAGATCAAAATGCCAATAGATTCTGTGCCCAGTGAGAACTTGCTTTCTGTCTTGCTGTATGTAGACAGTGTCTTCTCACTGTGTCTACACAAGGTGGAAGGGGTGAGGGTCTCTCTGGAATCTTCTTCATAAGGACAGTAATCCCATTAGTGAATGAAGGCAAAGTCCTCATGACCTTATCACTTCTCAAAGTCTCTACTTCCTAATACCATTTCCTTGGAGGTTAGGATTTCAACATAAGAATTTTAGAGGGAAACAAACATTCAGGCCTTAGCAGGCAACCTAACCTTCAATGGCAGTAAGTAGCTCACATTTGGGGAAGAGAGTAACTTTTGGCTTCCTCTTTCGGTGTTTCATGAGGTTTTTGTTTTAGTTCTAAAGATTACATGTTTGTGGCCTATCGGCACCAGAGAAAATCAGAATCTAATTTGAAAGAAACCCAAAATAAGAATATTCAGTTTTATCTTGTAGTCTTTCTTTGTCCAGCATTGCTGCCATCCTGCAGTAAAATCAAGTCACTGTAGCAACCTTATCACGGGTCCTCAGTCAGTTTTCATAGCTGTATCAACAGATTGTGGCGTCAGGAAGAAATTGCCCTGGTACATTAATTACTGGCCAGTGGAATGGGACCTGAGGGTAGTAAGCAATTGCACAGCTACTAAATGGATCACTGTGAAGAGAAAAACAATGCAAGGATGTTAAATAGGCTTGTATTTTTCCCCCAATATTAATGATTTCTTTTAAATGTTTTCCACAAATCCAGAAGTATTCGAATGTCAAACCACCACTTGATCAAAGCTGAGATGGGAACATTCATTTTTAATACTTTGGTAGTTATTTTTCTTAGGTAAAAATAAAACCAGTATTATAAGAGATAGAAACATGAAAAGCTTACTTACTGCCCCTGGAATATTTTCTCTTTCTAACCAAAATGAGAAACTTCTGTGATTCCTTGTCTGTAAAATGTATGAAATACTTATCACTGTTATCTCCAAAGGAGACTTGAAAGAGAAAGTGATGTCCAGCCAAGTGACCAAGATAAAAACTGCTATGAATTTTTAAAAAGTTTATTATATCCCTAAGACTGAAAAAATTTATGATCAAAAGAATAACCGCTTATCAAGTATATGGGGTTCGTGTTCTAGTGGAAAAATTAATTCATTATGACTGTATGCTAAAAACATACAATAATTAGACAAAGACAGTAATTTTAAGTTCAGAAGTTAAAGTTACATACAAAAAGACACAAATTCTGAAAGCTCTTAAACAAAGGTTTGAAAAAGATACTGATTTAGAATTGAATTTCTACCAAAACGGACCCCAAAATTCAGTCAAAAAATAATATTTTAACTGTTTTTTTCCAACAACAGCCACATATCTAAATATTTGTACATTCTAAATTAGTGGTCTGAACTGGTGAGGTTTGTAAGTGTTCCTGAGGTTTTAAATCAATATAATGCAATGTCCAGGGAAATTGATGTAAATTCCCTTCAGATAGTCTATCAAAGCATAAGGATCATATTGAAAATTTGCTATTTCTGACATCTGTTAGAACTTATCAGAGACTTGTTTTTCAGAAGGGAGAGAGAAGTACACTCTATATTTATAGGAATGTTTTTAGTAAAAATCTCAGTGAAAAAAACCACCTGAGCATTTACCACTCAAAGACAACCATAGACTTTTATATGGACACCCCATTCGATTAGCTAACTCTTGTTACTTTAAATAGTTTTTTTTTTTTTAATGTTTGGATTTGTAGATATAAACATGATTGTGTATTGTGATTTATTGGGAACTTTGATCTATAAAGTTTAGTCGCCTTAGGAATATGCACAAAAGGGCACAAAATATACATGGCTCATCCTGGTACTGTGCTAATAATGACCTAATAACAGCTGTCTTCACCATGACAGATAGACCTGCCTTAAACAGGTAACTTGTCTTGTTTTTCAGAAAAATGGTGATAGGTTGTGTGTGATTGTATGTGTGTGTGTCAGCATGTGTGCAGAGATTGCTTAGGAAAACTGGGAGAAAAAAGGGCATATATCACCCCCAGCCAAGGCATAGCTAAGCATTTAAAAACAGAATAAAGAAATTAGTGAGAAGAGAAAAAAAAGAGAGAGAAAAAGTGAAACAGCCCTCCAGAAACAGTATTACTGAATTTTTACAGTCTGATGCCAAAACCTGTGGCCAAAGAAGACAGACTAGAATAATAAAAGTGTCATGTGTTTATATAGCACCTTTTTCTGAGAAGCTCTTGATACATTGTGGTCATCTGGTCTTTTCCTGAGCTGCAGTACAAATAGCTCCTAAAAAGTACTGAGTCACAACTCTTCTGGAAACTATGCCATATCAAACTATGCAAACTCAGAAATGGACATTGGCCGAGCATTTTCTGGGCTGTTGGAAACTTTATTAACCAATATCTTTGCATCCAATACCCCACGTTGGCCAAATCTCTCCCTACACACACACACACACACACACACACACACACACTCATCTTTACTGAACTTCTCAGCAGTTCAACTCAAGGGCAAATTACTCATGTGGTTGTAGCATACAGAGCAGAGAAAATGAGTGAAGTTCATCTTCAGCCAGAGGAAAGAAAACTTTCCATGCCAACGGACCCCTATTCTTCCTCCAAACTTCAAGAGTCTTTTGCATTTGGGTGGTGGCTGAAAAGTTGAGGGATCATTTCTAAAACATTAAGTGATAAGAAATTATCTTCTTTTTAATCATGTAGGACAAAGAAATAGGAGGGACTGAGGGAGGGAACAGGTGGATCATTTTACAGATAAACAACCAGAAGCAGAGAGGGTGGAATTGATTTACTCACATGTATACAGAGGGTTCTAGGAATAGGGAACTGCAAAACCTCAGCTTTAAAAATGTGACTACATCACAAGGTTTTCTCTCTTTTAAGAGAATAGAAATGTTTCCCTCAGACACCCCAGTAATTCATCCTACTAAAAATAACTTAAAAAACTCATGTTGCCCAAGAAATTCATTATTTACTGGGCCCTCTGTTCCTGTTTTCAGAGAATAGTATTAAATGTTTTTGAACATTAAAATTTACAACGAATTCATGACATTGTCACAGCCCATGTTATGTTTGCCATAGGAAAAATGTACCCATAGAATAATCATCTCTGTGTTTTCCATACAAAAAAAATCACAGAAAATAGTCTGATAACTTTTATTCATTGATTTACTGATTTGCTTACCCTTCAAAAATAAGCAGTAGACATTAGTTTTGATGCTATAAATAAATGAGTAAATAAGATAGGCCACTGAAAGGTGAATATATTAGAATGTCTGAAGTGAGTGATCACTATTCCTAGATACTCAGAAATCAAGAGAACATTTTATATCCTTTATCTCAATTAACATTCCTGGAGAGAAAAAAAATGTACAATTCCCAGAATAAGATATGCCACTCTTCTTAATACAGTCATACCACTAGTACAAAACTTAATATTAGTGTCAGCTTCCAAGTGTGAGCCACACATTTTGGAAGTATTCATACATGGGTTTGGAAAAGACATTCAAGTCCTTTTACACAGGAGGTGGTCAATAAACTTTGTTAAAGGAATGATTGAATCATTTCCTCTAGGGATGGTAATGAGGTTCCATTCCTTATCCATTTTCTGAAAGTAGTTGTAGCAGCTGCTACAGTGATCCTGCTAGAGGCCAAATTGTGTGTAAATGAAAATCTCTCCAAGAATTAAGGTTTTATGTTCAAACCCCAAAATTCATGATAGAGGTCTAAGAACCAAAGCCCCAGTTACCTAAATTGTCACATAAAATTAGTGACAGTCTAAATTCTTTTGAATCTTTTCTTTGTGTGTTTCAACTCCTCAATTAAAATCCCAAATTTGTGTTGGGATGGCATATAGAGCCCTTATTCCTCCAGCATTATTTCTCACCACTTTTCCATATGCATTAAGCATTCTAAGAGCACTCGAAACTTCTTGTACATTCCAAGAAGCAACCCCATCTCTCATGCCACCATGATTTTGCATGTCCCTGCCTCTTTCTGGGACATCATCCTGAAACACCTTTAGTGGTTCTTTAAGTCTCAGTTTGCTATCAAATTATCTCGAAATCCTACTCAATCTCTACTTGATCCTACTCATTTCCCTTCTCTCTTCTCCCATAACGCCCAAACCATATCGCTATTTTCCATCTACTTGCCTTTCTACTACCTTCTCCCACACCAGGCTGAAGATTCCTGAAAGGCAAAGATTCCGGCTTAATCACCTCTGCCTCTCTCCAGAGACCTGGCTAGTGGGATTGCAATAAATGTTGGTTGACTGAATGATTGGATTTACGAATGAATGAAAAGAAGTATTCCTGTGGAAAATGAGAATCCACCTTTCCTCAACCTCTCTCTTTCATCTCTAGAGCTGGAGACCTGGATATCCACCAGATCTGCACTATTTCAGGTATGTTCCCATTGCTTAGGGACCTCTCCACTTTCCCAGGTTTGCCCAGAGTCCGTTCCCTAGCCCAGAGGACAGCAGCAGGTGAGTATAAGTCACTCACAACTTCTCTTTCTGAGTTTGATATCAGAACCTCAGAACCAATTCTTGTGTTGTTAGTTCTTATATTACATTAGCTGCCTAGTAAGACATGAGTCCTCAAGGCTGACTCATGTGAATTGGGCCTAAACCACCAGGTACTGCCCACATGACTTATGCCTCATCTCCTCCTAACTTCTGCTATTCTTCAGCTGCCTGTGGACTCTTCCTTACAGCTCTTGCCTTGTAACAGGTATTACTCAGCCAAGCCTTGACTCCATTTCCCTGCACAGACTATGATCTGAAACCTCACTCGTTGACAATCCACAGCAACGTACAGCCCAGAACAGAAATCTGTCCTGTCCTTCATTTTTGCTGACTTAATTTCCAATAAACTCTTCCATTAGCTGCACTTTAAAAACAGCATATTTTGTTCAATCTATTACTCTAGTTAGTGGGGTTTAACCATATTACCATGCATTCATTTCTGATTCTAGAAGAAATAGAACATGAAGCATTGTATTGAACCCTAAAGGATACTGAATGGAATTATATTTTTCTTTAATGATTCAGAAAACCTTGTGGATCATATATTAAATCATTATGAACATCAATTATTTTCCCATAAATATGAAGAGGGTTCAGTTATTATAACATTCTAACAAATAACTACTGAACACTAATCTTGTTGTTTCGTGGGTTTTTAGTTGAATATAGCAAATCAATCTGTTTCCAGTTGATAAATATGCATAGTGCTTGCTCATTAGCAAATCTCTTTGTGAAATGCCATGTTGAAGGAGAGATGGCCTTTAAGTGGTTATGGAGCAAGGATCTTGGTCTATGATATCAAAAATGTGCTGCAACACACAATAGGGAAATCTTAAGCAGTGGATAAGATAAAAATAAAGAGCAGAGCAACTCAATGGTAAGCCTGAGGTGTAGAAGTAGTTGTACAGAAAAGACTGTAGATGGGACTCAGTACCAGGCACTCAGGTGGCATTTTACAGTCCAGACCAGGCGAAGGCCCTGGCAGCTGGTGAGCCTGCCACCTAATTTTTTAAACTCTTGCATGTCTTGGCTTCCAGAGCATCACATTCTCCTTGTTCTTCTCCTAAGCCAATCTTCATTTCTTTTGTTTTTTTCTGCTAAGTCCTCTTCTTCTTCTCAATCTTTAAATGTGGGAGTGCCCTGGGACTCAGATCTCAAATCCCAACTCCTCTTCTTCCCACTGTCACTCCTCATTTGATTCCATCTGGTACCATGATTTTTACTGGCCATACATATGCCAATAATGCTCAAATTATTATCTCATTCCCTTCATTCCAGACTAATTTACCCAACTAAGCAGTCAACATTCCTAGATGGATATCTACTGGGCTTCTCAAACATAATACACACAAAATAAAACTTTTTTATTTTTTTATTTTTTTTTTTTGAGACTGAGTCTCACTCTGTTGCCCGGAATAGAATGCTGTGGCGTCAGCCTAGCTCACAGCAACCTCAAACTCCTGGGCTCAAGCAATCCTTCTGCCTCAGCCTCCCAAGTAGCTGGGACTACAGGCATGCGCCACCATGCCCAGGTAATTTTTTCTATGTATTTTTAGTTGTGCAGCTTCTTTCTTTCTATTTTTAGTAGAGGCGGGGTCTCACTCTTGCTCAGGCTGGTTTTGAACTCCTGCCTTTAGTGATCTTCCTGCCTCAGCCTCCCAGAGAGCTAGGATTATAGGCATGAGCAACTGTGCCTGGCCTAAAATAAAACTTTTAATTTGTATCCCCTGGATTCCCTATCTTAGTAAATGGCAACTACAGCCACACAAGTGTTCAGAAGAAAAATCTAGGACTCACTCTCATTTGCTTTCTTTCTCATATACCCCACTTTTGATTCATCAGCTAATCCTATTATCTCTACCATCCAAATAGATGACAAACTGGACAACTCATTATGTATGTATATATCCATCTCCTCCTTCCCCCTCCCACCTGCCCAACATCCGATAAATGTTATACCTGTATGTCCACTTAGGTGTTGATCAGTGAAACCAATTTGCTGGTGAGTACATGCGGTGCTTATTTTTCCATTCTTTTGGGAAAATTTTCACAAGCTACACATCCGATAAAGGGCTGATAACTAGAATCTATTATAAAACTCAGGAAAATCAGCAAGGAAAAATCAAACAACCCTATCAAAAAGTGGGCAAAGAACATGAACAGAAATTTTCCAAAAGAAGATAGAATAATGGCCAACAAACATATGACAAAATGCTCAATATCTCTAATCATCAGGGAAATACAAATCAAAACCACAATGAGATATCACTTGTCTCCAGTGAGAATGGCCTTTATTAACACGTCCCAAAACAATAAATGTTGGTATGGATGTGGAAAGATAGGAACACTCCTACATTGCTGGTGGTACTGCAAACTAGTTCAACCTCTGTGGAAAGCAATATGGAGATACCTTAAAGCGATACAAGTGGATCTACCATTTGATCCAGCAATCCCATTATTGGGCATCTACCCAAAAGAACAAAAGACATTCTATAAAAAAAGACACCTACACTTGAATGTTTATAACAGCACAATTCACAATTGCAAAGATGTGGAAACAACTGAACTGCCCATCAATACATGAGTGGATTAATAAAATGTGGTATATGTATACCATAGAGTACTATTCAGCTATAAGAAACGATGGTGATATCGCACCTCTTGTATTTTCCTGGATAGAGCTGGAACCCATTCTACTAAGTGAAGTATCCCAAGAATGGAAAAATATTATTGTTATTTTAATTAATAACTTTAATAAATTATAAATTTTAATTTTTAGTACAATAAATACATATTGCTATTACGTATGCAAAAGTTCTTTTGGGTCCTCAATGATTTTTAAGAGCAGAAAGGGGTCCACAATGTTTGAGCACTCCTGCTCTAAAACATTAAGCTGTCAACAAATAGATTTCTAAATAAATATTTTATAAATGAAATTTAAGACAATGAAGACACAGTAACCTTCATCACTTTAGAATAATATTTCCCAGGTCTCCCAGAAAAATCATGATTTATTTTTACATTTATTATGTCTTCCTTTTACTACAAAGATTTTTAATGTAAATTCAGATGATTGTTCCAATTTATTTGCATATGCAGTTAAATAAAGCCTTGGAATGAATCTATGGAGATCAGTGGAAAGTTTCATGGTCTAGCATTGTGGGCATGAGCACAGGCTCTCAAACCAAACTGCCTGGATTTATTCAACACCTCTGTACTTCAGTTTCTTTAACTAAAAAATATGTATAATATTAGTATCTAAATCAAAGGGCTGGTAAAAAGAGTAAATAACTTCATACTTATAAAATATTCAGAACGCTGCTGGGCACATTTAATAAATATTAGCTTGTGTTATAGTCAATTTAGTAATGTTAGCTACCATTATAATGATTACTGAGAATAGTAGTAAAATACCAGCAGGAACTCTAGAAGAAAAATGGGACATTGACATTAAAACTTTAGGAAGTTTTAAGATGTCAAAAGAATTAGAAATTGAATGGTAAATTTAATCTTACCATTGAGGCAGTTTCCTTTTTTGAAAAATCATTTATGTTTTCTTCCAAGAGCAGACCTCTCCTTCTGGTACTCCAACCAGTAACCATGTGATAAGGCTACATCATGCCCCAAGGAAGAAAACAAAGACTGTATGTTATGAAGATTAGTTCTTATAGAAAAGGCAATCTGTTAATTCATAAGAGTATCATCTTCTGATAGGATTGTTTCTGAAGCCAAGATGTCATATATTTAAAAACATATCACTAAAGGACAATTTTCAGGACAGCATCATAAAAGTCAAAGAAAACGAGCCTTGTAGGAAGATAGTCTATTAAGAGAGACAGTATTAGTTTGAACTATGGAAAAGACAGCAGCAAGAATAATCCTAAATGGAATATCCTAGATATTGTAATTATTTTTATATTATTAGCACTATGACTATGACTTGACTTATGGATGTTATATTTTTGGCAAGTTTTCAATCTTAGATCAGTTTATGTCTATATTTATGTTGAATTTCAATTTATATTAAAATTAGGATCACTAAATGTATTTTTCAGAGTGGTAGAATTTGGTCCAACTTAATAGTAGACTTTGAAATGGAGTTGCCAAACCATTTTATTTGAGGTAATGAGTTCCCCACCATTAAATGTGTAAAAATCTATATATTTCTATCAGAAAAAAAAATCAAGTTCATTTAATTCTATCTTTTACCCATCGTATTAATACTGTAATAAACAAACCCACTGTTCTTCAATTGTCTTTGATTGAAATAAACTGCTCTATCTGGACAGCTCTCATTCATTTGTCCAACAAGTATTTATGGACCAGACACTGTCCTAGGAATTTGAAATACAGCAAAGAAGAAACATTTAAAATCTTTGCCTTCACACGACATATTATTTTGGGGTAAGGATGAAATGCTTCATTTCCATTTTTTAGAAGGAGTGATTTTTATGAAGCTCGCAGAGACTAAAGGAGTAATTTGAGTGATGGAAATTGTCAGGCTGGAATCCACATCTTCCAATTTAAGAATTATTCTCTTTATTCCAAAACATGTATAAGTTTACTGCATGTGTAAGTTTACTGCAGGGTTGTCATGTAAAATAGACACTTCCTTGTCATATGAAAGTCTGAAGGTCACCTTTCACAGCACTTCATCTTCCATGCCACTTGGGTTCCTCTACTTGCATCCCCTGTGTTTACAATTCCCTGGTTCAAACATAGGTCAAGTTTGCTCACAGTCAATCACAGTCTAATCCTTTTCCAAGCAGGGAGAGCTCTCTATCCTCATATGCTTGATGTTCTGCCTTTTGAATCTATGGACGATCCCTGTAGCTGGATGAATGTGTTTTAAATTTCTTGGTTGTTTAAGATTTGCC